ATAGTGGAAAGGTGCATAGTGCAACCCGTTCTCGCAAATCGTAAAGTCATATTGACTTATTAACTACGTGCATAGGTGATATACTAAACATAATAGATACCCTTAAAAAGATTCATAGAAAACACCGACCTTACCTAACCTTGTTAGTATCTTAAGATAAGCATCTTATTGCTTCGTAATTACAATTATTACTTAACCTATACCTATTATAGGTTAGGTAATAATGTAATTACGAAGCAATAAGATGCTTATCTTAACATACTAAGTAGGTTAGGTAAGGTCGGGTTTTTCTATGAATCTTTTTAAGGGTATCTATTATGTTAAGTATGTCACCTATGCACATATTTAATAAGTCAATATTGACTTATTAAATTTGCGAGAACTGGCGAATGGGCTGGCAGGTTGACTGGCTGGCTAGTGGGCGTGCAGGTGGACTGGGTGGCTAGTGGGCGGGCAGGTGGACTGGGTGGCTAGTTGCTGGGCAGGTGGACTGTCTGGTTTTTGGGCTGGCAATTGGACTGGGTGGCTAGTGGGAGGGCAGGTGGACTGGGTGGCTAGTGGGAGGGCAGGTGGACTGGTGGCTAGTGGGAGGGCAGGTGGACTGGTTGGCTAGCGGCCGGGCAGGTGAACTGGCTGGCTAGTGGGCGGGAAGATAGACTGGCTGGCTAGTGAGCGGGTAGGTGGACATTTTTTGTATTATTATTTTCTACCACAGATGTGGCAAAACACATTTACAATGATAACCTGCATATAGGCATTTTATTCTTCTATCTCCATGGACAGGGTGAGAGATCTGTTACACATATGACTCAGGGATTTATTGAACAAAAATCACCGCGCGGGAAGGTGATTCTGTGCTTTTAAAATGCTAATCTAACCTACAGATATAAATGCATAGATACAGAGTTACGTCTGCCCTACAAAAAGTGGCCGATGTGTCTTTCACATAGTGTCATTAATGTGCATTTACAAAGGTTAAATGTAATTCTGATCAGCTTCCACATATACTTTTTACACATACATACATATATTTATGCACACATATACATTTATATACATATTTACATACATAGATACATCCCATACATATATCGTATTTTTTTTTTTTTGCAGTGATATTCCTGCGCGGGCCCTAAGCCTCTGGCTGGCCCACGTGTTGCTTCTTTCTGTTTTACTTGGGAGGAGTATGAGTATTTATTACTCGTATGGTCACTTCATACATTGTATAATTGATACATTACATGATCAATCATGGGTAAAAATCCAATATATCATTAAGTGTTCCAGTACTCATATAGTAGTTACAGAGTTCAGCATACCTCAGCCCAGGAGGGCGAAAGTCATTCAATATGAGACATTCTACAATATAATGTTCAGGAGAGTGCATGTTTTCTCTTTCACAAAGTTGACATATTGTGTTCCCGATATTTGGGTTTTGAGAAAGCTACCAGATACGTCTATATCCCAGGCATATTCTGGCCACTATAACATCACATTACCGTGTTCTTGCTCTGTTAGTCCAATATGAGAAGGCCTCCACACGATATTTATCATAGTATTTAATGCTCCAACTTTCAGGTCTTTGGGAATTTTTTAGGTCGATGAGATTTTCAGTTGATATTTGTTTAAGTATTCTCTTTGTCACAGCCAATAAAACACCTAGTGGGCGGGCCGGTGGACTGGCTGGTTAGTAGGTGGGCAGGTAGACTGCATGGATAGTTGAAGGGCATGTGGCATGGCTGGCTAGTGGGCGGGCATGTAGCATGGCTGGCTAGTGGGTGGGCAAGTGGACTGGCTGGATAGTGGGTGGGCAGGTAGACTGGCTGGCTAGTTGAAGGGCAGGTGGACTGGTTAACTAGTGGGCGGCCAGAAGGGCTGGCTGGCTAGTGGCCTGGCAGGAGGAAAGACTGGCTAGTGGGCGGGTAGGAGGACTGGTTGGCTAGTGGGCTGGCAGGAGGAAAGACTGGCTAGTGGGCGGGCAGGAGGACTGGTTGGCTAGTGGGCTGGCAAGTGGACTTGCTGGATAGTGGGTGGGAAGGTGGACTCCTGGGTAGTTGAAGGGAACGTGGGCTGGCTGGCAAGTGAGCGGGCAGGAGAACTGGCTGGTTTGCTGGGGGGAGGGGGCAGGACTGGTTGGCTAGAGGGCCGGCAGATGGACTGGCTGGCTAGTGGTCAGCCAGGTGGACTGGCTGCTTAGAGGGCAGGCAGGTGGAAAGACTGGCTAACTGGTGAGCTAGTGTTCGGGCAGATGGACTAGCTGGCTAGTGGCGGGCAGGTGGACTGCTTGGGAAGTAGACAGCAGGTGGTCTGGCTGGCCATTGGACAGACAAACAGACTGCCTGGCTAGTGGGCGGGCAGGAGGACTGGCTGGCCGGTGGACTGGCTGGCAAGTGTGCGGGCAGGAGGACTATCTGTCAAGTGGGTGGGCAAGTGAACTGGCAGGCTACGGGCAGGCATGTGGATTGGCAGGCTAGATGGCGGGCAGGACTGGCTATCTAGTGGGTGGGCAGATCTGGCTGGCTAGTGGGCGGGAGGGTGGACTAGCTGGTTAGTGGGTGGGCGGGAGGAATGGCTGGCTTTTGGGAGGGCAGATGGACTAGCTGGCGATTGGGCAGGCAGGTGTACTGGCTGCCTAGTGAGCGGCCAGGAGGATTGACTGGCTAATGGGCGGGCAAGTGGACTGGCTGGCGATTGGGCGGGCAGTTGAACTTGCAGGCTAGTGGCCGGGCAGATGGACTGCTTGGCTAGTGGGCGGGCAGGAGGACTGGCTGGCTAATGGGCGGGCAGGTCGACTGGCTGGCTGGTGGGTGGGTATGTGGACTTGATGCGTAGTGGTCTGGCAGGTGGACTATCTGGCTTGTGGGTGGGCTGGTGTACTGACTGGCTAGCTGGTGGGAAGATGGACTAGCCGGCTAGTAGGCGGGCAGGTGGACTGTTGGTTAGTGGTAGGGCAGGAGAACTGACTGGCTTGTGGTGGAGGGCAGGTATACTGGCTGGCTAGTGAACAGGCAAGTGGACTGGATAGCTAGTGAACAAGCCGGTGGACTGGCTGGAGAGTGGCCGGGAAGGTGGACTGGCTGTCAACTGGGCGGAGAGGTGGACCGGCTGGTTAGTGGGTAGGCAAATGGAATGGCTGGCTATTGGGAAGGCCGTTGGACTGGTTGACTTGCGGCCGTGCAGGTGAACTTGCTGGCTAGTGGGTAGGAAGCTGGACTGGCAGGCTAGTAGGTGAGCAGGTTGTCTGATTGGCTAGTGGGAGGGCAGGTGCACTGGCTGGATAGTGGGCGGGCGGTGGACTGGCTTGCTAGTAAGAGTGCAGGTAGACTGGCTGACTGCTCGGCGGGCAAGTGGACTGGCTGGCGAGTTGGCAGGCAGTTGAACTTGCAGGCTAGTGGCCGGCCAGATGGACTGCTTGGCCTAGTGGGCGGGCAGGAGGACTGACCTGATAATGGGCGGGCAGGTGGAATGACTTTCTAGTGAGAGGCAGGTGGACTGTCTGGCTTGAAGGAGTGCAGGTGGACTTTCTGGCTATTGGGAGGGCAGGAGGACTAGTTGGTTAGAGGTAGGGGAAGAGGACTGGCTGGCTAGTGGGAGGACTGGTTGTGTGGCTGTCTAGTGCACAGGCAGGGGGATTGGCAGGCAAGTGGGCGGCCAGGACGACTGACTGGCTAGTGGGTTGGCAGGTGGATTGCTTGGCTAGTGGCCGGGTTGGAGGACTGAATGGCTAGTGGCCGGGCAAGTGGACTAGATTACTCGTGTACTGGCTGGAAGACAGGCTGGCTAATTGACGGGAAGCTGGACTGGCTGGCAAGTAGGCGGGCAGATGGACTGACTGGCTAGTGGGCGGGTGACTGTGTCTAGTGGGAAGACAGTGACTGGATGCCTAGTGTGCTGGCAGGGAGAAATGGCTAGCTAGTTGGCGGGCAGGTAACTGGCTGCTACTCGGCGGGCAGGTGGACTCTAGTGGCTAGCTACAGGGCGGAAAGGAAAAGAGGACTGTCTGGCTAGTGAGAGGGGCAGGAGGAATGGCTGGCTCGTGGGCGGGCAGGCAGACACTGGATGTCAAGTAGGCGGGTAGGAGAAGCTATTTGGGAGCAGGTGGGCTGGGTAGGCGGTTAGGTGGACTGGCCTGATAGTGGCGGGCAGGTGGACTGTCTTGCTTAAGGGAGGGCAGCTGGACTGGCTGGCTGGTGGTAGGGTAGGAGGACTGGTTGGCTATGGTAGGGGAAGAGGACTGGCTGGCTAGTGGGAGGACTGGTTGTGTGGCTGTCTAGTGCACAGGCAGGGGGATTGGCAGGCAAGTGGGCGGCCAGGACGACTGGCTGGCTAGTGGGTTGGCAGGTGGATTGCATGGCTAGTGGCCGGGCTGGAGGACTGAATGGCTACTAGTCGGGCAGGTGGACTGGATTACTATTGTGCTTGCTGGAAGACAGACTGGCTAGTTGAAGGGAAGGTGGACTGGCTGGCAAGTAGGCGGGCAAGTGCACTATCTGGCTAGTGGGCGGGTAGGGGGGAATGTGTCTAGTGGGAAAGGCAGTAAGACTGGATGCCTAGTGTGCTGGCAGGAGAAATGGCTAGCTAGTTGGCGGGCAGGTAGACTGGCTGGCTACTCGGCGGGCAGGTGGACGGGCGGCTGGAGGGGAGGCAGGAGGACTGGCTAGCTACAGGGCGGAAAAGAGGACTGTCTGGCTAGTAAGAGGGGCAGGAAGAATGGGTGGCTCGTGGGCGGGCAGAAACACTGGATGTCAAGTAGGCGGGGTACTAGAACTGGCTGGCTATTGGGAGTACAGTGGGGCTGGCAATCTAGTAGGCGGTTAGGTGGACTGGCCTGATAGTGGGCGGGCAGGTGGACTGTCTTGCTTAAGGGAGGGCAGCTGGACTGGCTGGCTGGTGGTAGGGTAGGAGGACTGGTTGGCTAGGGGTAGGGGAAGAGGACTGGCTGGCTAGTGGGCTGACAGGTGGATTGCATGGCTAGTGGCCGGGCAAGTGGACTAGATTACTCGTGTACTGGCTGGAAGACAGGCTGGCTAGTTGACGGGAAGTTGGACTGGCTGGCAAGTAGGCGGGCAGATGGACTGACTGGCTAGTGGGCGGGCAGTAGAACTGGATGTCTAGTGTGCTGGCAGGGGGACTGGCTAGGTAGTTGGCGGGCAGGGTGGACTGGCAGGCTAGTCGGCGGGCAAGAGGACTCGCTGGCATGTGGGCGGGCAGGATGATTGGCTGGGTAGTGAGAGGGCAGGTGGACTGGCTATCTAATTGGGGGGCAGGTGGACTGGCTGGCTAGTGGGCTGGCAGGTGGAATGGCTGGCTAGTTGGAGGGCAGGAGGACTGGTTGGCTAGTGATATGGCTGGAGCTCGCAATCACCTCACTGAATACTGGACTTCGATGTCCTACCAGATAACCAGGAGAATATATTTGTATCCAAGTACTCGTCTACAGCCGAGTTCCCCCACGACAATGACAAATCACACTAACAAATCACAGTGATTTACGTTACAATCCGGTTGCAATGACAATACTGCAGAATCTAGTAAAATAACATACAGGACATGAACCCTCTAGAACACTGCTCCACAATGGTTTTACTGAACTGCAATCACATACGGTGATTGCTCAACACTAGCAACAATCACCATCAAATAACAACCCTCTTTGCAATAACACACACGGCAAGTACTCTAATTTCCAAATATTAGAATACTGCACACACTTACTTACTTACTGCTGCAAATGACCCCTAGAACATAGGTCAATATATTGCAATCACCACACAGTAAATAACACAATAACACTGGGCACCGTGACACTACGATTATATATATATATACATAATTACTGCTGACACATGTAGCCTACAGCTATCAAACGTTATTGGGAACACCAAGGAGAATCTCACACTCCTTAAATCACATGGGTGAGTGATTTATCGGTCACGCATGCCGATAAACACTCGAGAGTTACGTTACTCGACAGAGCGGGGGCGGTCTCTCTAGACAGCCTCGTCACTCACCAAAACTCTCCAAAATTACGTTAATTAATACTGCAACCACAATATATATTTATATAAATCACACTTGTCACGGCCCTGGGAACAATACAAGAAATTTAAGTCCACACTGTGGCACACTCCACAATAATCATTGCCTGGAATCGCTGGCGTTACACATACCTGAGCGCTCAGTGTTGGAATTCCACACCTGCAAGACCACACATGGAAATGATATCACTCCGTCCCACGGACGATCAAAAATGATTACCACAATGAAATAAAAGAATTTATTACATGGACATCCTCTCAGTCCTTGGCTAATCTATGTATATTCTGTGTTCCCGTGTGTACCCACACACACACACACACTGTACGTCTGTGTACACCAGACTTAAGTCCCTCTGGACTGACAAGATGACAACACAGGTGATTAATCTCCTCGCCTACAATTCACTCCACCTGAACAGGTGCTGCGTGACAATGTGACGGAACACTTGACCTCGAATTCAAGCTTTAGAGACTACTAATCACCAGAAATACACACATAGGTACTTACTCATTCACACTGCCGGCTTTACACACCATTCCCATACATCAGGCAGCCCGCTATAGGTGGCTGGCTCGTCCCAAGTGGCGTAAGCGGCGGTAGATCCTGACCATAGTACTTATACTGAAAATTGGCGCACACTCGAACCCCTCCCACTCAACACAGCTGAGTTCGCACCCTCGACTCCCCGGTGAAGTGAAGTGTTCATACCCAGGTGACGCGCACAACGATGTGTCTCACAAAAAACATGGGAAATTTGCCTTAACACTGACACGAATTTCCCCGTTCCCATCGACTGCTACAGAGCACTAGCAAGTCTAATCAACACTGGTATGGGATCTACGAATCTGTTGCTGCTCGTATGCACATTTTCCCCGATCCCAGATCACTGTACCTCTACCCCCTGAATAACAATGTCTTAAACCCCTCCAAGCGACGACTTTGGCCGGATTCTGTGACGACCGATGTCGTAGGTGAAGCAGGAAGCATCAGCAGCTGAGTAGTCCAGCCACCACGACGCCCTATACATCAATTTGGCCGAATTGAGTACAGCGAACGTCTTGACAAGGTGGCGGCTGAGTTCAGAATGCTGCTACACCAGCTACTTCCCGCGTCCTTCTCGGAATAACCAATGAGAGGAAGGCATACAGCGGCCTGCCCCTCTCATCCAATCAGCAACGGTGTAGCATAGCCCCTAGGGCAGCTCCAAGATGGCCGACCAACGTGGCGGCTCAAGATGTTTAACAAGATGGCGGCTGTCTCCATGACAACCACTCAAGTGGCTAGGGAGCGCGGGAGGCCCACATGCCCACGCCGGCGGCCTAGCTGTTTCCCGCGCAAAGCTGAGTCTGGCCTCAAAGCCATACAATGAGATGATGCTATCAGCTCTAGCACTGTCCACAGACATGCCACCCCGGCCAGGGTAACATTTATGGACTGCTGATGACTGGGGCTCTCACATGAGCCCAAACACTAGATGTTTCGGTTGCTGGTTACCAAACTTAAGTCCGCCCACTTAACAAGTGCACTTAACAAGTGTACTGGCTCCCACAGGCATAAGAGCACTATTGTAAGTGAGCTGGTGAACCACCTCCTCACAGACTGACCGGCTAGTGGGCGGGTTGGTCGACTGGCTGTTTACTGTGTGGGTAGGGGGATTCCCTTGCTAGTGGGGGGGGGGGGGGCAGGTGAACTGACTAGCTAAGGCAGGAGGATTGATTTGCTAGTGGGCGTGCAGAAGGGCTGGCTGTCTAGTGGGCGGGCAGGTACACTGGCTGGCTAGTGAGAGGGCAGTATTCCGGAATGGCTAGTGGGCGGGCAGGTGTACTGTCTGTCTACTGGGCGGGCAGGTGGACTTGCAGGCTAGTGGCCGGGCAGGTGGACTGGCTTTCCAGTGGGTGGGTATGGGGACTTGCTGGGTAGTGGTCGGGCAGGCGGACTATCTGGCTTGTGGGTCTAGACTATCTGTCTAGAGGGAGGGTAGGAGGACTGGTTGGCTTATGGGCGGGCAGGTGGAATGTCTAATAAGGGGTGGGCAGGTGGACTTGCTTGCTAGTGGGCAGCAGGTTGACTATCTGGCAAGAGAGAAGGCAGGAGGACTGACTGGCTAGTGGCCGGGAAGGTGGTCTGGGTGGCTAGTGGCTTAAGAGGTGGTCTGGCTGGATAGTGGGTGGGCAAGAGAACTGGCTGGCTAGTAGGCTGGCAGGTGGATTGCATGGCTAGTGGCCGGGCCGGCGGACTGAATGGCTAGTGGTCGGGCAAGTGGACTGGATTACTCGTGTACTGGCTGGAAGACAGGCTGACTAGTTGACGGGAAGGTGGACTGGCTGGCTAGTGGGCGGGCAGGTGAACTGTCTGTCTAGTGGGCGGGCAATAGTACAGGATGCCTAGTGTGCTGGCAGCAAGACTGGCTAGCTAGTCGGCGGGTAGGTGGACTGGCTTACTATTGGACAGGGTGGTGGAATGGGTAGCTAGTGGCTGGCAGGTAGACTGGCTGGCTAGTGGGAGGGCATGAGGACTGGCTGTCAACTGCGTGGGTAGGGGGATTCCCTGGCTAGTGCGCTGGCAGATGAACTGACTGGCTAGTGGGCAGGCAGGAGGACTGGATGGCTTGTGATAAGGCAGGAGGACTGGCTGGCTAGTGGGCGGGCAGGTAAACTGGTTGCCAAGTGCACGGGCAGGGGGGATTCCTTTAGCTATTGGGCGGGCAAGTGAACTGGATGGTTAGTTGGAGGGTAGATGGATTGGCTGGATAGTGGGCTGGCAGGTGGATTGAATGGCTAGTGTACGGGCAAGAAGAAAGGATGGCTAGCTGACCTGGTAGGTGGCTGACCTGGCGGGTAGGAGAACTGGCTGACTAGTGGGCAGGCAGGTGGATTGGCTATTTAGTAGGCTGGAAGGTGGACTGGCCTGCTAGTGGGGGTGGGGGCAGGCGGAATGGCTGGCTAGTGGGCGGGCAGGTGGATTGTCTTGCTAGTGGGCGGCCAGGTGGACTGGGTGGCTAGTGGGAGGCCATGAGGACCGGCTGGCTAGTGGGCGGTCCGGTGGACTGAATGTTTAGTGCGTGGGCAGGGGGATTGGCTGGCTAGTAGCCAATGGACTGAATGACTAGTGGCTTGACAGGTAGAGTGGATGGCTCGAGTATGGTCTGGAAGACAGGCTGGATAGTTGACGGGTAGGTGGACTGGCTGACAAGTAGGCAGGCAGGTAGACTGACTTGCTAGTGGGCGGGCAGAAGGACTGGCTGTCTAATGGACGGGCAGGTACTCTGGCTGGCTAGTAAAAGGGCAGGAGGCCTGAATGGCTAGTGGGCGGGCAGGTGTACCGTTTGCCTAGTGGGCAGGCAGGTGTACTTGCAGGCTGGTGGCCGGGCAGATTGCCTGGTTGGCTAGTGGACGAGCAGGAGGACTGGCTGGCTAATGGGCGGGCAGGTGGACTGACTGGCCAGTGGGTGGGTATGTGGACTTGCTGGGAAGTGGTCGGGCAGGTGGACTATCAGGCTTGTGAGTCTAGACTATCTGTCTAGAGGGAGGGTAGGAGGACTGGTTGGCTTGTGGGCGGGCAGGTGTAATGTCTTAATAATGGGCGGGCAGGTGGACTTGCTTGCTAGTGGGCGAGCATGTGGACTGCCTGGCTAGAGTACAGGCAGGAGGACTGGCTGTCTAGTGAGCGGGTAGTAGGACTGGCTGGCTAGTGGGCAGCAGGTTGACTATCTGGCAAGAGGGAAGGCAGGCCGGAGCACTGACTGGCTAGTGGGCGGGCAGTTGAACTGACTGGCTAGTGGGTGCGCAGTGGACTGTCTGGCTAGTAAGTGGGCAGGTGGACTGGGTAGCTAGTGGGCGGATAGGTGGACTGGCTGATTAGAGGGCAGCAGGTGGATTTGCTGGCGAGTGGGCAGGCAGGTGAACTTTCATGCTTGTGGGCAAACAAGTGGACTGGCTTGCTAGTGGGCGGGCAGGTAGACTGGCCGGTTAGTGTGCGGTCAGATAGTGTGCGGGCTGGTGGACAGGCTGACTATTGGGCGGGCAGGTGGACTGGCTGGCTAGTAGGCTTGCAGGGGGACTGGCTAGCTAGTGGGCAGGCAGATGGATTGCTGGCTAGTGATCGTGCAGGTGGACTAGCTTGTAAATGGGCGGAGAGGTGGACTGCCTAGTTAGTGATTG